AGCAATGAAAGGCCGATTTGCAGAGCGGCGCTCCGCTAACAGGAGCAAGACAATGTGCAGGAACTTCTGGCTGGGGGCTCCTTACAGAGTATATTTCACTCCGCAGAGAGAACTCGAAGGGACCAGAGAGCCATCCAAGTCGTGCCTTAGGGCACGGTGGCGGATATTCTCGATCCTGGTCACGGCAGTGGGCGGCTCGCTGCTGGGCAAAATCAGGGAGATAGTGGACCAGCCAATGGACACGTTTGGGCTGCTGGCCGATCACCTGCCGGGGGCCACGCACTTCTACCTCAACTTCATCGTCATGCAGTGGGCCACCCACGGCATCGTCATGACCCGGTACCTGCAGCTCTTCAAGTATTTCGGCTTCCGCGCGCTGCTGGGCAAGAGGCGCGCCGTGGAGATGGCAGAGCCAGAGGACCAGGACTACTACGGCATCGGCTCGCGGATGGCGCGCTGGAGCGCCACTGTGCTCATCTCGAGGAAGAAATAACAGCAAACGCATCGATTTTCGGCGCTCCGCACTGATCTCTTGGATCGGGGTTGTGCCCCCCTCCCTGGGACGTGGAGCGCGCCAGGGGCGGCGCCGGAGGCGCCGCCCTGGCAGGCCCAGCGCCGATCCAAGAGGTCCGCCAGGAGCGCAGAAAGTTTATGCTTATTCAGTTTTTTGGTTCCTCTATTATCGGCATCATCTTTTCAACGCTCTCGCCAGCGATCACGGGCCTGACCTTCGTCAATTTCTTGCTCTGCCGCGTCTGTTACGGGTACATGCTCGTCTTCGCCGAGACCAGGAAGCCCGATAGCGGGGGGCTGTTCTTCGTCAACGGGCTCCGGCACGTGCAGTTTGGGGTCATGATATACGTTGTCCTCTTGATCGGCATTATGGCGCGTCACGCCAAGAGCAACGGCCCCGTCTCGAAGAAGAGACAGTTTCATAAAGATGAATTTTCGGACCTCCGCGCGGATTTCTTAGATCGTTGCGTGCCCCCCCCTGGCGGCGCCTCCGGCGCCGCCCCTGGCGCTCTCAGCGCGCCAGGGGCAAGGGGTCACGCGCAGATCCACGAACGCCGCGCGGACCTCACAAAGTGTATGTTTATGCAACTTGTTCTTCCTCTGTCGTCATCATCACCGCCCCCGCTGCCTTGTACCTGATGTATTGCTGCTACCGCTTCCGGGTGGGCTTCAGCTACGAAATGCTCCCGTTCCAGGACGTCATCTCGCTGCCCAAGGAGAGGTCTAAGTTCCATTCCGACGACGATGGGTCGCGGGCGTACACGCAGCGCGAGCTCACAGACCCTATCCACGCTCCTTGGAGCAGCGATGACGACGGAGGGACGTCCACAGGGGAGGACGACGTGATGGTGCGGTGGGCGTCCACAGAGACGTCTACAGCGGCGTCCTCAGGGGAAGACGAGAAGCCCACATCCGCCCTCCCGCCGTCTTCCAGAAGACCCTCGACCGAGAAGCAAGCGCCAGGACCGTCGTCGTCGTCGTCGTCGTCGTCATCGTCCTCGTCGAGGCCGTCGTGCCCAAAGACGGACCCACACAGCAAGGCGAGCACCGGCCTGGCTGGCTGAGCCTGTTCCGCCTAAAGTAATTCTGTGCAGCGCAGCAGGTCGTCTGAAGGACGACAGGCTAGTGTTTTATGAATGTCATGTTGTAGTACATGACATACGTGCGTCTACGAAGCCTTGCTATTTCTGTAACAGTTAATTCGGCTGATGCTCAGACTATTGAGCACTCGAGTCCCTTTTGCTGGCGCTAGGCGATGTGGCGCACAGTTCAGAAAACAGAAACGCACGAGACGTATCCATCTTTTCTCATACACTATATGCGATCATCGAGGGGCCTATCCACAATACACAAGCATATGGTAACACCATGCTCGTAGCGCAAACCACACGCTGGAGGGTGCGCAGGAGGAGCAGGAGACATTCTCGGAACATGGAAGATGGGAATGACCAGTTACAGGGGGAGGCATGCGAATAGGACGAAGAGGACCAGGAGGAGGAGGAGGAGGAGCAGGAAGAGGAGGAGGAGGAGGAAGAGGAGGACAAGAGGTGGGGAGGAGGAGGAGGAGGAGGCGGAGAAGGAGGAGGAAGAGCAGGAGGAGGAGGAAGAGGATAAAGAGCAGGAGGAGGAAGAACAGGAGGAGTAGGAGGTGGTGGACGAGGGTGCGTGGAGGATAGAGTTGCAGCGAGCGGGAGAGGAAGGGATGGGCCCTTGGGGGGGAGGCCGGAGGGAGAGGGAGTAGGAGAATCGGTCGGACCACGCGACCTGGGGGTCAGGAGAGAGAGGGTTTGCTTTAAATCGTGCCCGTCCCTTTACAGGAGGGATATTCATAAATAGTCAAAAAATAGTCTGGAGACGATTTGTTTTAATACAATTTTCGAATATTTGGGGTGTATTTTTTGAGTATTTCTTGGTTCGCCTAACATCCCCCTGTAGGGGGACACGCCCGACTTAAGGTTTGCTTTTTCCTGCTCCTCCTTTCACTCCTTTCTTCGTTCTCCTCCTCAATCCTGTCCTTCTCCCCAATGGGTGAGACGATTCGATGCCGGCGCAGCCACGACCGTGGGGTCAGGAGAGAGAGGGTCCACCTCGTTTGCCTCCTCTTATCCATCTTGTTCTTCCTTCCTCCTTTGTCCTCCTCCCTCAGTCCATACTCCATCCCCACTTCTCCTTCTCCTTCTGTTTCCTCGAGTGGTCAAACGATGCGCCTCCGGCGCAGACACGATCGTGGGGTCAGGAGAGAGAGGGTCCACCTCGTTTGCCTCCTCTTATCCATCTTGTTCTTACTTCCTCCTTTGTCCTCCTCCTTCAGTCCATACTCCATCCCCACTGCTCGTTCTCCTTCTGTTTCCTCGAGTGGTGAAACGATGCGCCTCCGGCGCTGACACGATCGTGGGGTCAAGGGGGAGGTTTGCCTGATCCTCATCTCCCTTCTTCCCTTTCCTCTTCCTTGTCCTCCTCCTCCTCCTCCTTTCCTCCTCCTCCTCCTCCTCCTCCTCTTCCTCCTCCTCCATCGTGCGGCCTCGAAGGCGCCTCGGACACGAAAGGGCAATACGGCACACACGACGTATGTTCCTAAAGCTGCTGGAAGGATTTTGACCCCTCTGGGGCGTCTCTGGGAGCCCCCGTGCGCAGCGGGAACCGTACTGAGGTTTTCTCAGGGCGTTTGGGAGGCATGTTGGAAAACCGATTGAACCATCCTGGACCATCTTGGTCCAGGTTGGAGGCCACATTGAGCTGATTGACGCCGCCTACGAGTCAATGATGCCCCTGGGATGCTACAACCCATCAAACAGCTAAGGTGTTGTTTCGATGTTGGGTTTGAGCGACGGGGGCGGTACGCATTATGGCTGGCACTCTTGAGCCAGACCTACGTATTGTATTCTGGGCACCTCCTGGGACACATGTTGGGTGTTCTTTAGCGGTCTTGCGGCCGTATTGGGGCCTTACTGGGTCTTTCTTGGCGCTCGCTTGGGGCATATTGGAGCCATCTTGAGGCTTCGGGGGCACAGCGGAAAGCGAGCAGGCGGGAATGCAGCAATCAGTCGTTGCCTTTCTGTTTAGGAAGAGTGTAGGTCTCTTGGGGGCTCCGTGGCTACTCGGTGCCGCCTTGGAGAAGTCTTGGGGCCTCTTGATGCTATCTTGAGCCACCTTCGCATCGATTGAGCAATCTTGAAGACCATCTTGAAATCTCTTGGGCCATATGGGGGCCATCTTGGGCCATCTTGGACGCTATAACCGCCCCCCCTCTGTCCAGACCCAGTGGTGTCTGCAGGAAGAGGGTTCAAGCTATCCACAAGCCGCAAGCCGTCGCGCTGACTCCCACCCGCCGTCCGAGCACATAAGTTGGCACCCGAGCCTCAGCATCGCCAGGGGCCGCCATCGACAAGTATCGGGAACCAGTGCAGACGTCAGCCATGTACGCGATGCCCGCGAAGTGGGCCGCGCATGCCAGTGCACCCCTCACCTAGATGGCAACTTCCCACGTCGCATAACGATGCGACATGATCGCGGGGCGCCCAAGCATGGTCCAAGATGTTGCGCAACGTGCATGCTGCATGTGCTGTTGGTATGGATGGTGGGCCCGCACCCGCCAGACAAGATGCGCCCCTTTCATCCTGGTCAACAGGCAATGTAAGGTGATAGCGGGGCGCCCGACCATGATGCAGACGTTGCCGTAACGAGTAACGTGTGCTCCTTTGGTAGTGATGGCGGTGGCGGGGGGAGCGGATTGCACAATGGATGCAACACAATCGTGGACACCAGTCGGTGTTTCCGCGACACGTTTCGGCGAGGATCGTATTGCATGCCATTCTGATGCGGTCACCAGGAGAGGCGCGTGTCTCCGGCCACCAGATGGATTATCCAGGCGCGGCGTTGGCAGAGTGACAGTTCTGAACGCTCTATTTGGGCCACGGTTGGTTCTTCCCTCGATCCTCCGATGTGTTCTTTCTCTACGGAAGCTGCAGCATTGGCGGAATGCACATCTACGGTCAAGCGGCTGGTACGGGCACAATCTGGCGCTAATTGCACAAACCGTTTTGATGACCAAGCAGCACACTAAACCGATGGGCCTGCAGTGGTTTAGACTGTGCTAGTCGGGAGGAGCAGGATGAGGAGGGGGTGGCGGACTGGGGCGAGAGCACGAGTATGAGGGAGAGGATAGGGGGGAAGGTGCACTCACGCAATCACCTGCCCCATCCTCTGCCTCACAGCCTCGTAAATATGCTCGCTGTTCCTGCGAGGGTGAGGGCGAGAACACTCCTTCATGTTCCTGCTGTTCTTTTCGTTTCTGATCATGGGTTCCCCCAACTTGAAGAATTGCTGTTGCGAAGGAAGTAGAGGAGAAGGAGGCCTCGAGAAGGGGCAGCAGGAGGAAGATAATGGAAACGAGGAGGTGGATGCGAGGACGACCACGACAACGAGGAGGAGAAGGAGGATGAGGAGGAGGAGGCCTGACTGAGCTGGGGACAAGACTCCCGTGCCAGGTGCAGGCGCGTTTCCGGGACGGGACTTGGTGCAGGGCCACGGTGGAGAAGGACGTGGGTGACGGCACTTTCCGCATCAGGTGGCGGCGCGTCAGGGAGCATTGAGGAGGGGATGTGGGAGTGGGGGAGAGGAAAACAGCTATGCATAAGGATGAGCAGGAAGAGGCGGAGGAGGTGGATAAGGCAGGATGAGGGGCAGGGCGGTTGCCTTGCAATCGGGTTCGTCTATGACGAAAGTTTTCAGAACGGATTCGCGAGTGAAGGGTCAGGGAGGATGGTAGAGAATGGGAGAGGGCAGTGACATTGGTGGGGAGGAGGGAGAGGGAGGGGTAGAGGAGAACGAGAAGCACAATGATGATGAAGGATAAGAAGCAATGGGAAGGATGAGAAGAGAAACTGAGAAGGAGTAGGGGAAAGTATCATGAGGGTCAAGTTGCGAGTGGTGATGAAGGTTGGAGTTGTAGATCTGGAGGTGGAAAGGTGGAGGCATTGGGAATACGAGTTGGTGCTCATATGTTGTAGGGTTCGATTAACGATCTAATTCGAATCATACATGGCAGTGCAGGATCTTGCAGACGTGGCAGCCACAGTTTAGTAACATTAACGCTGCGTGTGCTGACTTAACAGCATTCATTGTTCCTGAACATCGGGGATCCATACGCGGTGTTGTCGTTCTCTCTCTCTCTCTCTCAAGCTTGGTGTTCAGACGTCCCTGGCTCCCCTGGGGGGCACGAGCAGGATTGACGGACCTGCCGTTCTTCTCCCTAGTTCAAGTCCCCGATGCAGCATAAAGCACGAACAACGCCCGATGGGTAAGACACATAAATGAGTTCACACAACACCCACCGTCCATCGCTCAACACACAGCACGCGTGCACAGTGCACATCACACTTCACACAGCACACGCGCGGCGCAAGGCCGCTTTGGCTCATGGTGGCTGGCACGCTGGCCGCATCGGGGCACCCTCTGTCGCTTTCTCTTTTCTGTCTTTCCCCGCTCCCTCAGCCCCCTGCGGCTGCCGTGGCGGCGGAGGTGTCAACATGGCTGGAAATGAAGAGGCGGACATCGGCAAGTATGCCGACCAATCATTGCAGAGGGCTGCGGGTTCATGACGCACGCGGAGGGGTTGGACGAGCTGGATGTGCAAGAGCTGACGGAATGGATGCAGATGCACCGGGGCACGCCAAGAAGCTTCGGAATCTGGTCCAGCGGCTGCGGGGCGTCGAAGCTGCTACCTTCGTTGACGCCATGGTAGGGCAGGAGGGAAAACCGTCTGCCCGCCGACCACTTCTCTGACTCTGCTGCCGAGGCCATGGATGTGGAGCAGCGGTTAACTCGCGCAGCTTGCTTGGAAGAGGAAGGCAACGGCAGCTTCAGGGTCGATGATTACAATGCTGCTGCGCGTGACTGTCACGCGGTGTTTCAGCTTCTGGGGGCCGTGGCGGGCGAGACGAAGCATGCAGCAAGTACACAGTCGGCGTAGGCATGTTTCCTGGATCTGGCGCAGTGCGAGCTGCGGCTAGATCGGTTCCATGAGGCGGACGGGTACGTGTGCGCGGGCGGCGCTCAAGTTGGATGGACTTTGGCTTAAGTCGGGCCTGTCCCTCTACAGGTGGAAAATTCAAAAATGGCGAAAAATAGTATGGGGACTATTGTTTGAGTATTTGGGGATATTTTTCGATTTCTTTCAAGTATTTTTCGTCGAGAATCCCCCTGTAGGGGGACACGCCCGACTTAATTCTACCCGCTCGGGCTCGCGCGACTGGCCACGGCGGAGCCCGCGCAGGCCGCTCGGCGGGAGCCCAGAACATGGACATCCGAGCCGCGCTGGCTCGGCCGCTTCGGGTGCTGGTTCGACTGCGGCTCTCCTCCCAAGCATGGGCATGCAACACTCGCTTCAATTAGGGGAGCGAAAAGTGACATAAGCATAAAAACTCGGAGGTCCGCGCGGATTTCTCGGATCCGCGCTGGAGCCCCCTGGCGGCGCCACCGGCGCCGCCCCTGGCGCGCTCCGCGCGCCAGGGAGGGGGGTCCAGCGCGGATCCAAGAAATCCGCGCGGACCCCCGAGTTTTTATGTTTTGCCATTTTTCGCTCCCCTATCCCAAGCATGGGCATGCAACACTCGCTTCAATGGATCGACAAGGACGTCGTCGAGCTGTCCACGGAGGGCGTGTTCACCCAAACCACGGGCTCCAGCGTGCTGGACTCCGCTGCTACGCCGGAGCGTTCTTCTTGCTCTGGCCAGGCTCTGCTGGACAATGCGGCATCCCGCATTGCGGCAAGTGGGCTTTGCAAAAAGAATAATATTATTATTATTAATAATAATAATAATAATAATAATCGTCGGATGCGCGCCGCGCAAAAAGAAAAACGGGCATTAGCAACCGCATAGAGTTCATCCTTCCTTTTCCCACCGTGATCTGGCGAGCCGTATGTACGCTTCTTGCATGATGGCGGCGGAGGAGTGTATAACCGACTGGTTGCTTGGCATTCTTACGATCAATGTGTGCAGGCTCCTGTAGCAGTGTCCCGTCCGCCAGACGCAGGCTTAGTAATGCAGGGCGCAAATTCATCGGCTCCGCTCCGATGGTTCGAAGCCGTGCTGGCTCGTTGCACATGGAGTTTTTGTATTTTGGTGGGTTGGCCGATCCATCGGCGTTCTGGAGATTGCTGAAGCTCGCTTCGCCGCATGCGTTTGCTCCGTCCGCTGAGGCGGGCGCAGGAGTGTGCCGCGAGGCAGGTCGACGGTACCCTGCTGCTGGAGGAATCTTGCATGTTCTTGTGAGTCAAATTCTGAGACGGCTTCGTGTTCGTCTTCGGCGCGCGTGGGACGGAGCTTTGTTCCCACGTCTTCTCGTTTCACGTGTATGATTTTACATTATTTACACAGCTGGTCTGGTCTGGTAGCCCTCAGTCTCCCCTGAATTGTGTACTGCGTATTGTGTCGCCTAGTGCGATTTCCCTTTGAGCATCCCTGTGGTCAGTGGGGCGCCTAGTCTCGCTGGAGTCGATTGACGCTGACCCGGGATTTGCCCCGTTCTTTCCGTCTTCCCCCTTTTTCCCGCCCTCCTTCCTCCTCCGCCCCCCTGACAGTGCGCTTGGTGCGTAAGTATGTAGCATCCGGGCAGCCCCCAGAGGGCCCCCCAAACGGCCCAGGCCCGCCCAGACGGCCCAAGAGGGTCCCGGGACGCTCCAAAACAGCGCAAACACGGCCCAAAAGAGCCCCAAGAGGATCCCCAGAAGGCCTGGAAATACAAGATGTATTCATTTTCGCAAGGTCGGTTGCTAGATTTGTATATGTCGCACCGAAGCCTTAACACCAACAGGGCTCCACGACACTACGCCAGCGACCTCGCGCCCTCGCAAAATCAACGCGCTTTCAGTCGCCATGCCAAGCAGGTGACAGAAAGAGCGAGGTACGAGCGAGAGAAGTTTCGCAGGGGACGTAGCCCTTATATGGAGGGTGTCCAGGGGACGGGGCAAGCCTGGACGATATGGTCTGATGGCCGCCGGGGGGCCGTTTCCTTCGTATTGTTTCGAATGAAGCGGCTCCGAGGCGGCTCCCATGGCCCGTTTCCTATAATTGTTTGAATGGCGCGGCCCACGGGCCCCAAGACGGCCCAAGAGGACCCTACAACGACCCAACTATTGGCCCAAGAGAGCCTTAGATGGCCTCCAGAGGAACCACGAGAGCCTCGAGACGGCTCCAGGGCCCCTCCAGAGGGCCCTCGAGAGGGCCTGAGAATGCCACAAACATTGACTTCCATTCGGTTTTTGCAGTTGTTTCTGGTTTCCTTTTTTCAGGCCCAGAAGGGCTCCAGACGGCCCAAGGGGTCCCAAAGTTCGTCCCAAGAGGGCCCCAGAGGCCCCCCCCCAAAGGGACCGAAAACTATCCAAGAGGGCGCCCAGGCGGGCCCAGGACGGCCCAAGAGGGCCCCAAAGATCGTTCCAAGACGGCCCCAAATGGGCCCAAAGACGGTCTAAGAGGGGCCCCAGACGGGCCCAAGACGGCCCAAGAGGCCCCAAAGATCGTCCCAAGACGGCCGCAGAGGCCCCCCAACGGGGCCGAAGATGGTCCAAGAGGGCCCCCAGGCGGGCCAAGAGGGCCCGAAGACGGCACGACGGTCCCACGAGAGCTCCAAGAGGCTCCCAAGAGGGTTCGCAGAGGCGGTATTGGGATTGGGCTGCTTGGGTGCAGGGACTGGGCTGGGCCCAAGACGGCCAAAGATGCCAACAACGGCCCCGACGGCCCCAAGACGGCCCAAAAAGGGCCCCAGAAGTGCTCCAAAAAGACCCCCAAGAAGGCCCAGAGGCTCCAAATAGAAGAGCGATCGGCCACGCAAAAAGCTTTTCACACCAAGGCTACCAACAGCGAGCGGAGACGTGACAAACTCGTGACACCAAGGCTCCCACGAGCGAACGGTGACGTAAACAATTCCCAACGCCAATGTTCCCACGAGCGAGCGGCAACGTAACAGTCTCTGAACACCAGGGCTCCCCCAGGGGGGGGTCCTCACCGCGGTCTCTATCCGTCCCAGAGTCGCGGGTCGTGGCGGGCGTGGTACTTTCTCGACACCACAGGGGGTGCGTAGGGACCACCCCCTAGGGGGTGGTCCATCACTGCGGTCTGTATCCGTCCCAGGGTCGCGGGGCGTGGCGGGCGTGGCACTTCTTCCACACCATAGGGGGTGCGCAGGGGGTGGTCCCTCACCGCGGTCTCTATCCGTCCCAGGGTCGCGGGGTGTGGCAGGCGTGGTGCCTTCTCGGCACCATAGGGGTGCGCAGGGGGTGGTCCCTCACCGCGGTCTCTATCCGTCCCAGGGTCGCGGGGCGTGGCGGGCGTGGCACTTTCTCCACGCCACGCGGGGTGCGCAGGGGGTGTTCCCTCACCGCGGTCTCTATCCGTCCCAGGGTCGCGGGGCGTGGCAAACGTGGCACTTTCTCGACACCATAGGGGGTGCGCAGGGGGTGGTCCCTCACTGCGGTCTCTATCCGTCCCAGGGTCGCGGGGCGTGGCGGGCGTGGCACTTCCTCGGCTCAATAGAGGGTACGCAGGGGCGGTCCCCACCGCGGTCTCT